GTAGTGTGTCTTCAGCAGTTGAGAGCCAAAAAACCGTAGTAACAAGTTTGAAAAGCGGCTCAAGTGGGACTCTATGAAGTTGCCGCCAACACATTTTAATTACATTACGATAATCCTTTATACAGACTTAAGGACAGGCTCGTTCTCTCATTGATTGGAATAGAAACGGGCTGCAAAATTTTTAAGTGACACAGTCTTATTTTCTTTATGATATCCAGCTCAGTCCTAAGTATCCTGGCTTACACTTAAGCCCTTCCGCTGTTTGCATTCGTGCAGATACGCATATATCCATTCCCGAATGCACGACTTCGCTTGACGTTTGTCCATACAATAATTTCACATTCAGTAAAGGAGAGCAGTCAGAAAAACAAGAGGAAGCCAGTCGTATCGCCCGCACATCAGGAAGGGGACTCTTCCGTCATCGATGCCACTTGCTCCACCTTCCGCGGTCCTTTCGATCCACGCGCCAACGGGTTCGATTTCGAGGAGAACGCGCGAGCCGCGGATCATGAAATGAAGCGACGACGAAGGAGTCGGCTGCAGGAGGAAGAGGAGGGAGCACGTTTTTCTCGAGTAGGAAATGTTGCGGTGGATAGAGCAGGTCGCAGCGACGCGTCATCTACAAACCAGTCCGATCTGGGAAACCCTCGTCTTTGGAAGTCGAAAGAATGTGAGTAAACTTCCGTATCGACATAAAAATAAAAAAATGCAAGGGCTTTTTACTTCAGGTAGGTCTTCAGCCAAAAGCGAACTTATATTTAGAGACGACTCTCTCTCTTCGTATGCAGTTTTTAGTAGCTTCGCTTCTGGAATTTGAGGCTAAAACAATCGGAGCTTACGACGATTTATCCGATTAGTTGTGCGTTTGAACTATCGAACTCTCGTGGGAGCTCTTCAGAACCAGTAAAATAAGTCAAAAGTGAGCAATATTTGTAGCCGCTGACCGTGTGTCCTCGGCTAAAAAGGAGGTTGTGCCATCGGGTAATGAGGTCGCAATGAGGCGGATAGCAATTCTGGCTTATAGCATTGTGGCCAGAGGTCCAGCATCAAGTAACTGGCTGCTTGTTTTGGCCCTGAATCGTGCCACTACCTCGATTCGAGCTTGCAACCTGCCTCTAGGGTGTGGGGAACGGGTCATCGCCTTTTTCTACCAGTCCGTGCTCGCCTCTCCGTAGGTCGAGCCCTGTGATCTAGCAAGCGTAATTTGAGAAGCAGTTGAGACATTAAATCTGACTAACGACACTGGATTACTTAACTCCATCCAGTTTATCCTTAATCTGAATGATTCCCTTACGTATGGTAGGTTCGGCTAATGGACGATACCGAAAGTTGATTCTGCGCTTATGCTTTCTGTTGACTCTCGAATCTTTCTAAGGTATGATTTGGGGCATCTCAGCTTTGATGGGTTCCTTCGTTAGGTCCATCACGGGCAAACATGGAAGCATTGGATAATGACAGTTTGAGGGAAATCTTTCATTGGGACTTGGTCAAGCAGATACTACCTTTCTAGTGCTCAACCAGCCTGAGCATTACATTGGGTCTTTACAACTTTTAAGAGTTTTATTATAGTTCCGTTTATATGCCACCGACGAATGCCATTACATGGTTTACCATGCTTTAATTGTTGGTGCCAACTTTGCGATTTAGGGATCCCCGATGAGACCTTGTGCAATCTCCAACATTACGCTTCCATTCGCATCGAGGGCCTTAACTAGGTACACGAAAAGAAGTAGAACGAAACACAGGGAACAATCTCGAGAGTGCTCGTATTGTCGAGGAATGCAGACCGAGTACTCATAAACTACACAGTTTTCATAAAAGATCGAGGTGCGAACACGTTATGTCCCACCACTGCCTACCAGTCCCTATGAATTCATTTGCTGAGCGTTGAAACCAGACGCCCATTGACAAAAAGGCTGGGAATTTTAGACTGGTAATTTTAGATAAAATGACCTGTTGAAACAGCTAAAAGTACTCATTATTTATCGGCGCTGGGCTATGTACAAGGCCACAAGCTGGGAAGA